AAAAATCTGAAGTGTCCCGCCCCCCCCCCCCCCCCCCCCGGCCCGGGGGGAACATTTCTGAAATAATCACTGGTTACAATTAGAAATGGAGCCTTAGCTGTTACATGAAGGAACATGAATTTTTTTTATTGAAGTTTTCGCAATAATTAAATGGTATCGTCAGGTTGCTTTTCCGATTTTCCGATATTCGAGATAGTTTAATAAAAACATCGCAATAATAGACAAACTTGTTTTTTTTAAAATAAATTTTGAGTGGTGGTGTTTATATTTTTATTTAAATACGTTCATTTATCAATATTATATAAGTACTGACTACTGTTTTGTATTTTTTAGCTTTTCAATTTAAAATAAAACAAAGTTCCGACACGCGCCCGTTCGAACAGAGCTTCCCACACGCAAGTCGCAAGTCTTAGACTTGACAACATACATTTAAAACAAAAAGAAGAATCGAATTAAATATCGCTTGAAAATAATTACCTTTCCAACAAATTTCTGAATTGGTGCTGTTATAAAAAAAATAATTATTTGACCAAACTTCTGCTCTACCAAATTTCCGATCGATCAAAGTTCCATTCAACCAAACTTCCATTCGGTCAAACTTCCGTTCGAACAAACTTCCGTCGATCAATTTTCCGTCGACGAAATTCATTTCAAACAAATTTCCGCATACGATATAAAACGTATGTTACGTAAAAACCCGAAGAAACGAGAAGACGGGGAGGGAATTTGGGATGGGGGGGGGGGCGTGCCTGCCAAAAGCCGTCACCTGGAAAGGAAACGGAACAGTACACATAGAAAAATGAAAAAGTTCTTTTGTTCATTGGTTTCGACCTTTCTCAAGTTTTTCTACACCCTGTGTTTTATAATTGGCTATTGCTTCAACCTGATCACAATCTTCTCCTTATAATACTCATAATTCTAACCCGGACTCTGCTACATTTACAACTCATGGCCGAATAGTCACATGCCCACACCGCCTCACGACATCTTTCCGATTTAATGTCCATCAACCACCCGTCCCCTCATTTCCCATCACCCGTCGTCAGCTGGCTGCTGACAAACTGCATGGCCACTGCATGAAATGTCTCGTTAAAACACTACATCACCCACAAAACATCAGTAACCCAAATTCATTTGAACGACTGTTTGCTCAAAGAATACCCAGCCGGTCTATTTGGAAGTTCTTATGCTAAAACTGTTTGCGTCGTTTAAACTCGTCGTTACCAAATCATGACACAGCAATAGCCCGAGTAGTAGTGGGCCTAGTTCGCAATACGCATTAAAACCAGCGCTTCCCAAATGCCGGGTCGCGACCCGGCAGCGACAGCATTAAATGCCGAGGCGCGATGAAAAGTTCTTGAAAACCTAGATGGGTATTTGTTTTGCTGTTGTATTTTCCACTAAACCTTTAAATAACAGTAACTCATGCTAACCCTGCTAATAGACTACTAACGTTGAATCAGGACAACAAAGGCAAAAGTTAAGATATATACAGTGACAGTGGAACCTCTCATAGCGAGTTTAATTCGTTCCAGACTTTTACTCGTTAAGCGAAACACTCGTTAAACGAAACAATGTTTCCCACACAAATCAATGTAAAATACGATAATTTGTTCCATGCTGAAAAAATACTAATTTTTCAAAAAAAATTATTAACATTTATTCAAATAAAATAACTTATGAATTGTCAAGGAGTTTAACAACTTGGAATACAATTTAGATTTGAAACAAAAAACGTAAATAAAAAATATGAATTTATGACAAATAATTAATCCTTTTTAACAAGAAAACTCTCTAAAGACATTTGTTTTTGCCCACGCTTCAAAATTTGACGAAAATGTGTCACAGCATTTTCATTTAATAAATTTGTAGCACGAATAGCCACGCTCACACCTTGTTCTCGCTTTTCAATGATTTTACGTTTCATTTCAACAGTTATTTTTTCTCTTTTATGATTGTCTTCTTGGGTTTTTTATTTTCGAAGACATTTTAGCATAGGTTATTAAACTTTGCACATAAAAAAAAAAAATTACGAATGCTGTCTGAATACAAAATTTGTAAAAACTGGTGATCACATACGAAAATAATACGCTAACAGACCGAGTGCTCAACACAGACTAATGCAATGGTTCTCAACCTTCCTAGTGCCGCGACCCTTTAATACAGTTTCCGTATCTTGGCGACCCCCTCAGCGACCAAATTATTTTCGTTCCTACTTCATAGCTGTAAGAATATGTGTTTTCAGATAGTCTAAGGCGACCCCTGCGAAAGGGCCACGCTACCCCCCCAAAGAGGTCACGACCCACAGATTGAGAACCGCTGGACTAATGCATCGGCGCGGAAGCCCCGGCTCACAAAGGAATGTCGGCAAAAAGAGACTTCCCCCCTTTCTGCGTAACTCGTTATGCGAAATATCGCTCGTTAAGGGAGCAACTTCTTCACATTCTTTTTTGCTCGTTATGCGAATTACTCGTTATTAGAGGTGCTCGTTATGAGAGATTCCACTGTACATTGCATCTGATCATTAAAACATCACCTTTTTTAAAAAAAAATTTAATTCTTTAATTTTTTAAAAATAATTCCTTTATATTGCCCGTTGAACCATAGTAAACCCGCCACTGATGAATAGTGAATTAACGAAAAATTTAAACAAGAATTATTTTCAAGACTGAAAAAAAATTGTGAGATGAATGAAAAAAAAATCAATTTCTCCAGATCAATAAAAATTATCTTGTCTCAAATAATAGTAATAGCCGCACGATTTGACGATAGTAAATGTTGAGATCAGCTACCTGAACTACGTCATAAGTTACATAAAGCTAGGAATGTATTGCACAATCCCCTCTCGTTGGAGGGGAATTTTTACAACCGAATACTTCACAGGCACGGGTGAAAGCTTAGAATGTTAGATTTTTTAAAACTCGTTCTTAAACACCACAGATTTATGTTCAAACAAAACTAATAATCTAAAAAGTGTAAGTTAGTGGAAGTCACCTAAATTTGATATATTTGTTGTCCGCCATAATGTCTCTCCCTCCCTTACCAACCGGTATCATAATAATATGGCGATCACCCACTTCTAAAAATAGCGTAAAAATATCTGCTTTTCTTTCACTATGGCTCAGCATGACTGAGGGAAATTCAATGGACAATAGTTTATTTTATGAACTGACGTAACAACTATTTGTCCGCAATGACCTATTTAGTTTTGTTAAATATAAATAAATAATTATTACATTATCTAATAATATAATTAAGTGTAATTAATCATAAAAATTACTTCAAGAAAATAGAGCTATCATAAAGATATTATTAGCCAATGGCTGACAAAGGGTATTTAAAATGTATACTCGTTATGTGTTTAAAGCTACACTAAGATGAATTCGCACCTATCAGCATTTAGTCAAAGTCTTAGTATTCCACTGTTATTGTCTATACTTTGATTGTTTATGTTCGTGTGTGCCTGATTTTCAAGAAATTAAATCTTAATGGATTACCATCGAATTTAGCATGGTCATATGCCTACCTCATGACTCACGGATCCTACAATGATTTAGGTAAAATTTGATGGGAATCTTCATGATTTACAACCGAATTTTGCATGGTCATAGGCCTACCTTCTGACTTAAGGACCCCTGCAAAAATTTGCTTTTACATTGAATAGGATGAACAAATTCTGGGCCTGAACGGGGTAACACTAACCCTAAGTATAGGCCTATGCTACTCCATACGAAACATTTGATTACCTCTCGCACACCCAAAGGTTAAGGGTACCAAATTTTTCACTAGCATTTCTTACGTTTCTCTCAAGTTAAGTGTAGAATGATGAAAGCTAAATTCAGGTAGCCTGTTAGCGAAAAATGTATTCCTGCAATTTGAATTATTTAAAAAAAATGTTCTAGGCGAAGGGCCTCCCTTGCCGTTTCATCAAATTTAATGTTAGATACTAAATTAAAGTTACAATTAGCGTATACAATATATATATTTTTGGTAGTAAAAAGCACAACAAATGTTTCAATTTGACTCAGTTCTTCAAACAACAAGGTAATATATATATATATATATATATATATATATATATATATATATAGGACTATATATATATATATATATATATATATATATATATCATACCAATATCAATAGCTTTAAAATCTACCCATAGCCCTAATAGTTTCTAAATTCAATGTATAAATTATAAATTACGATAAGATTCTTGTATTGATCCTAATAAATGGGAATGTATGCATTTTAATATTACATATTCAAACCCCTATTCATTCTCAGTCAGCTTAGGCTTATACTTATAAATTATAATATTAAATTATACATATTTTAACCAAGCCAACAATGTACAATAAGAGCAATTTAAAAACAAGACATCTAAATCAGTTCTCTAGCGTTAAAATCTGCCATCATTAAAAAAAAATCCCTTAAAATTAATGCTTAAGAAATTACATAAGAAGTATCATTTGAAAAAATTGAGAACCTCTAACTAAACTTGTCCTGACTACGCTTTTAACCCTGACCTCTGACCTGTCCCATGGACCATAACTCTGGTACATAAAAGATGGACTATGAACAGTTGTGTAGTTTAGTCTTATTAGGCAGAACCTGAGTACACAACTAAGTGTAGCTAAAAAAGTAAATACATTTTGGTATTGTTGATTTTCAAATAGAAGGAAAAGCAACGTCATGGCTAACAGAGACCGAGCAGCCAATCAACTAGCTGAGTTTAAGGAGAAACAACTGGTAGGCTAATTTAAAGTTGATTCAATTCTATTCTATTATTTCTAATAAATAATCAATAATAATCAAATCTAAGAGTCTAAGACTAATTCAAATCTCATTCTCCACCCACCTCCATGACCAAGACAAAACATTCCAGATACAACTTGATTTTGAGCTTGACTACTTGCAAGTAAATAAAAGGGTGATAGAGTATAGTAAAGACTTACTTAAACTTAATTTAAATGTCTTCAAGTAGCATAGTTAAAATTTACCCTACTGAAGTAAAGAAGTGAAGGAGCATGCACATGATATAATATAATGAATGACTGATGAAATGACAATGATAATGCGAAACTCATTTATATCATTATTATTAAAATAATTAGTACAATTTTTGTAAAATATAATTTCTGGCGTTTTGCTTGAAGTTTGCTAGTTTCTGATTGTTTTTGGACTAATTCACCATTATTTTTCTGACAAAAATTTTGGTAGGAGGCATCCTTTAAGTACATCAACAATTTTTAAGCAATTTTTGACACCCCCCCCCCCCTGTAATTATGTCAACATTTTTAGAACAACCCCCCCCCATGAATTAGAAATAAATACATTTTACTTTGCTGATCTATTCAAAATTTATTAAAATAATTAGTAAAATTTTTGTAAAATATAATTTCTGGCGTTTTGCTTGAAGTTTGCTATTTTCTGATTGTTTTTGGACTAATTCCCCATTATTTTTCTGACAAAAATTTTGGTAGGAGGCATCCTTTAAGTACATCAACAATTTTTAAGCAATTTTTGACCCCCCCCCCCCCCTGTAATTATGTCAACATTTTTAGAACAACCCCCCCCCATGAATTAGAAATAAATACATTTTACTTTGCTGATCTATTCAAAAGACACATAAAATTGTAGGAAAAATATTTTATTACATCTTTAGCTTGTTAATCAACAAGTCAAAAAGTTTACAATAAAATTTTATAATGTAGAATCAATTAAATTAATATCATTCTTTGTGCAAGTATTAATAAATATGATTATTGTAAGTATAGCTGACAATTGTAGTATAGGTTCTAGTTGCTATCAATCTTCTTCCCATCAATCCCATGGAGTAGCCAGGTATTGGTCTATCGTAACAATGGGCGTAGTAGCTGATTGATCATTTTCATCTTGTGGAACTTATATAAAAAACAAGTCAACATCATCCTCATCTAACCATTCAGCACCTACAATAGAAGCATAGTCAGTGTGAGCAATAATTGCCATAAGCTGTCTCTGTCTCCTGGCTGCTACTCACATTGATTTTGATCGAATCCTTTTTTGTTGGCGAGCAGGTGGTAATTTCTTATGCTCAAGAGTGCATTGTCGGTGCTTTTAAACATGCTTTTTCAACTTGACTTGTGATGCAAAGTATGTTACAGATTTTGCAAATCTATTCAAGCAACGATGTTATTATTGCTATTCACTTTACTTTCCCCTAATTCTCAAAATATTGTATTCCTACTCTATCAATATCATTTATTATGAATGCACTTGACACTTGTCCCAGTTCCATACCTGCAACATGATTGCAAACATACCATCCTAGTCATTTGCGACAAACAGAATCTACAGGTGAATAGTTAGTCTTCTCTTGCTCTCGTTAAGTGTGCTAACATTCTGACCAGCCATCTGCAGTGCACAGACATTAAATAATCTTATATTGTTAAAAGCCTAAAAATTGTATGACTATTTTCATTTATTAAATGTTTTAAAATATTGTAATAACCAGTCAATTTTTAAAATCAACATTTTAATAGAGAAAAAACATGATTGTTGACGTCAACTAATCTACCCCTCTCCCCCTTATCAACAATCGTCACACATTTCCAAATGACCCCCCCCCCCCCCCCCATTTATTAAATGTTTTAAAAAATTGTAATAACCAGTCAATTTTTAAAATAAAAACTTTAATAGAGAAAAAACATGATTGTTGACGTCAACTAATCTACCCCTCCCCCCCTTATCCACAATCGTCACACATTTCCAAATGACCCCCCCCCCCCTACCCATTTTTTTGAAAAAATTAATGGACGACCCCTTAACAGTAACAGTTAAATTAATTAAAAATGCTAACAAAATTTTTTAGCAAAAAAGTTTTATCTAGAAAAGTGGGGTGGAGGATTAAAAATGTTATATAATATATTTGTGTTATATAATTTATTATAATATGTGCACAGACCCTAATTACTTAGGCTAATATTTGATAACCCTACCACTACTTTGACCAAGCTTATTATTTACAATTTCATCTTCAAATAATGTCTTTATATCTTGTAATTGTATGTTGTTAATTCTTATATTTTTTAGCCAAACTTTATCTAGCCTAATGTAGGTTATGATTATTTAGACTTATTTAGAAGATGCAATTTAATTATTGCCTAATAAGCATCACTGAACATTAAAATCTTTTAATATTTTGGTAGATCCTTGATTTACCCATTTCCCCCCTACTATGCAAGTGAACTATGAATATAAAGCAAGGTTATGTAATGGAAGTTTAGATTTGTTTGTTTGGGTTTTCTGGTAATAATGTTAATTTTATTCTGTCAATTTAAACCAAGAAAAATCATATTTATTTCTCCACTTATACGGAAATGAAAGTGTTCTTAAATCAATATTTTATTTGTAAAATTTGTATAATTAAAAAAAAACAACTCACTATAAGGAATTCCCTTTAAAAATGAATACATTTTTGCTCTTTACTTGTTTTTTTAAATTTTAGAAAGCAGATGGTATCAAGACCGCTGCAGGAGCACCAGTGGGGAATAAAAATGCTTCACTTACAGTGGGCCCACGAGGTCCTATATTGCTCCAAGATCATGTCTTCTTAGATGAAATGGCTCATTTTAATAGAGAGCGTATACCAGAGAGAGTTGTGCATGCTAAAGGAGCAGGTGTGTATCCATCTAGAGAATTAAATACACAAAAAAATTCTCACAACTTTGTAATTATAATAGGGTGATTATGTCAACACTAGACTGTCGAAAGTGTGAATATATGAAATTTGCATTAAAGGAATTTGAGACACTAGGAAAGAGGGGAAAAAATCCAGGCATTGTCAGGACGTCTGTCATATGGTGCCATGTCATGCACTGATGTGTCTGCACTGCCTCTGGTCAGTGCCATCTCAAGACATGGGCACACTTGGCAGTTGCCTAGGGCCTCACCCTTCTAGGGAATATCAAGTTGTCCATATTATTAATGAATATTATTGAAGATCTTTAGTGACTTTGGTTTCAAAGTGCAGTGGGAAGCAGGTTCCCCAAGGTTTTGTTGACAAGTTTTTTTATTTTTAAATAAATTCCATGTATTGGTATCTCCAAGTTTGCCCTTAGGTCCCCTTTTTTCCCCACTGAATGAAATTGTCTGAAAGAAACACTGGTCAAATTACATATGCAAACTTGGGCCCAAAATGCTTTTGCTAACATTACTTGGATAGGGTTAAAGTGGAATAGGGGTTGTTTGTGCAATACACAGGGCCCCTCCTGATGCTGTTAAGATGGCTTGCCTTTGGTGTAATAGATCCCTGTTCTTGTGTTGTACAGTCATGAAGAAGAATGTTGTAACACAACAGAGGAGACTGTATGTACCATATGTAACCTAGTCATATGGGCAGTTATAAATCTAATGAATAGTCTTTGAGATATTTCCTCTTCCTTGGGTCTAGCACTGTAAGAATCACCCTTTATTAGAAATGTTTTGCAAAGACAAAAAAAACATACATCTTCACCTTCCTCTATAATTCATTGCAATGAACCCAGCAAAGCATAAGGCTCATTCTAAATTATAATGTGGGCCAGGTACAGTTGATGATAAAGTGAAGTTATCTATTCTTCATGAAATTGTACCAAGTTCCAGTTAAAGTGCTTTATAAAAATTTAATATAAAAAATCAAGTTATTTGCAATAAAGACATATTACATTTAAAAAGGGTTTTATGGGTTGTAATGGGTTAAGAGAGTGGACACACCTGAATTTGTGGCCATTATTATTTTTCGGAAATTATATGCAGTCAGAAAGGGAATACACTCAATATTCATAAGTAAACTCTTTTTTCCCATGTTCTCTTTATTGCCCCATTCTTCACTTTCAATTCCAATATTTTTTCTTTTTTAATACTCCTTCATTTTTTTCTCTATATTTATACCTCAATTTTAGGATGCACACATTATTTTAAAATGGATACTAATCCCAATTTAGTTTTTTCTATGCTCTGACTTGTTTTTCTTGATCTGCAACTAGCAAATAAAATCCAGACCAATGAATCAGCTGATTTTTGTTGACTTAAGAATTAGTACAACAAAACAGCTGCAGTTTGAGGTCAAGGCCACATGGGCCATTTGTTTATAGTATAATTGAATATTAATTCAGATATGTCAAGGCCTTTGACAAGCATTAAGGGGAAAGAAAAGCGTGTAATACTTGTTAAAGTACAAAATTACTGCTGTTCATAATTTCAGGAACCTAGAATATTGACCTTTCTGAACATAAACAATTTATATAGTAAGAATAATTCAAGGCCAAGGCACCGAAAGATAATAATATAAAAATTTTGATGACTTAATGGTGGTTTGATGGTGGTTTGTCCAACCTGAAGCAATTTATAACATTCACTTTAGAAAATCTTTTGTTGACTCTGTATTCATTGATCATTGACTATGTAACGTACATCATTCATTGATCATTGACTCTGTAAAGTATATCATTCGTTGATCTTTCATTATAAATGCTCATTTTGCATAGCAGTCATTATATTATTGAACCATGCAAGTCTATTGCCCAGACCCACAAATCTCATCTCAAGATGTTTGTAACTATGTAGTGATTTTACTATTTATGAATCTGTAACTTTTGCATTCAATTTAAACTTTATCATATTTTTAACACCCCTAATTTGATGGCAAGAGATGCAATATAAAATAGATCATATAAGAATTTGGAATTTCATCCTGCCAAGTGCCAGACCTTATCAATCTCTAGAAGTTGTACTCCTCTACACTACCAATACAAACTGCACAGCCATATTCTTGAGCAAGTTTCCTCTGTAAAGTACCTAGGTGTTACCATTCAAAGAGAGGTCCGCTGGGACGAGCATATTAACAATGTATGTAACCAAGCAAACCAAGCCTTGGGGTTCTTAAGGCGAAATCTAAAGATTGGCAACTCCTGTGTGAAAGAAAGAGCATATAAAGCCTTTATCCGTCCGATTTTAGATTATGCATCTTCAGTCTGGGACCCATTTACCCAGAAGAGCATTGACAGGTTGGAGGCGGTCCAGCGACGAGCAGCACGCTTTGTCCTAAACCGCTACAGGAATACCTCTAGTGTTGGCAGCATGCTAGAAACACTAGGCTGGTCACCATTGGAGAAACGACGACGACAATCCAGGCTCTCCATGATGTACAAGATAAATAATGGGCTGGTCCACTGTTCCAGTATTAAACAGAAACTCGTCCCTCTCCCCCATAGACAGCGACGAGGCCATGACAGGCAATTCAGGCTCATACCAGCAAGAAGCCAGTATAGGAGCTGCTCATTCCTGCCCAAGACAATCAGGGACTGGAACCATCTTTCAAACGGAACAGTTGAGGCGACAACACTAGACACATTTGTGTCTATTGCCTCAAGCCTTCAAACCCCTAGTGCATAATTTCCTCATCACCACCAGTAACAGAAACATTGCAAATCCCATCTACATGCATAGGAGCCAAAATGATCAATAAATTGATCGTGGGCCCTTAAGATATAGAAGAAGAAGAAGAAGACCATTCAGTGGTTTCCAAACACACACACACACACATATATATATATATATATTCATATATTTTCAGCAACATGATCAAGTAATTTACAGTTATTAAATGCAGTTATTATCATTTGAAGATTATGAAATATTATGTTTTTATCTTTTATCATAACTTATGAAGCAAATATTTTAATGGAGCTTGAAAATGCCACACATACAGATTTTTTAGAATTATGAATTTCTATTATTGTTTACCTCTTCTTTTACTCTTAGAATATTTTTTTGTAATATTGTTTATTACTATTTTCTAGAGAATATTTTTGATAACGTATTTACATTTTGACTTCTGACTTGTTCAGGTGCCTTTGGTTTCTTGGAAATAACCCATGACATCACAAAATATAGCAAGGCAAGAATCTTTGAGCACGTTGGGAAAAAAACACCTCTGGCAGTTCGATTTTCAACAGTTGGTGAGTTTGATTGCATATTCTAACCAGCTGTGAAGTCGTGGCTGTCCATCACCATTTTTTTCTCATTTTCTTATAATATCACATAAAATAACTTAAAAAATGTGTTTTTAAATTATTGGGGGGGGTGTGTGGGGGTTGTTAAATTTTTGCATTACATTCCCATTGCAAATATCTCAGTGCTTTTAAAATTTATCTGTTTGAAATATTGTCGTTAAATTTAATTTTTCCCTTTTAAATTCCATCTTTCTGGAGATTTAGAAACAGTTTAGGCATCCTTTCCTCAATGTAATCACCATATATATTTCTCTATGTAACAATGTTCATCACTAATGTGAGGTAAACTAGTGCACAAAATAAAATTCCTCCCAACCTCACTAAATGAGATTCTTGGTGCATAATGTTTTTACTTTTTGTTTTACTGAAAAAGTTGGTGCTATAAATCTACTGTTTAAAAGGGAGTGGCACATTAAATTATAAATATAAGGGCGGTAGCATGGGGGTCAGGGTGGTTGGTTAGCACCAATTGATAATCTTATAAAGTGCATTACTTGAATGCATCTTTTCTCAAGTAGCTTAAGTAGATGGGAAGCTCAAGCATTGTGGCCACAGTTTTTTGGCAGACTGTAGCTAGTATGTTAACAATTGTTTCAAATGGCAGAGCAGAACTTATTAAAGTTACATAATATAATATTAAGTAATAATTGCAACATGCAAGGCATTAAAATTTTGTGAAACAGGTGGAGAAAAAGGATCTGCAGACACTGCCAGAGATCCGAGAGGATTTGCCATTAAATTCTACACAGAAGATGGTAACTGGGACCTGGTGGGCAACAACACCCCAATTTTCTTCATCAGGGATCCTATTCTGGTGAGAACCCAATACTTGCTGGGCGCTTCGTCAAAAATAAAATATCATTTGTATTCAAATTGTTTTTTGGTCGCGTTGGATTTAGTAATTTTAATTAGCTAAAGAAACACTATCTTTTTAAAAAAAGTAAAAATAAAGGCGAGTTAAAAAGGTAATTAATAAGCATAATCTATTTATGCTTTTTGTCTCTTATTTAAAAAAGTAGTAATAAAAGTTAGTTAAAAAAGGTAATTAATGAACATAATCTCTTGATGCTTTTTCTCTCTTATTTAAAAAAAGTAGAAATAATACTATTAACTTTGTAGTTAAGATAAATTCAAGCAGTTGAACAATGATTGCTTTATTGTTAATAAAATATTGTCAATTAATCATGTGGGTATGTTGAGGAAATTTCTGTCTTTCAGTGATAAAAATTACATGAATTTGTTAACACTGAATTTTAATGCCGTCATTCTGTTCTCATTGTTTATGAATTTTCTCTCAAAAGTTTCCAAGTTTTATCCACACGCAGAAAAGAAACCCCGTCACTAACCTGAAGGTATGTGCGCCGCAATGTGGGTTGGTTGTTTATGACCTAGTTTTACTTCTATCAAGTGATAATTATGTTGTTTTCTTGGTCATTGTTGCATATCAGTTACTCACCAACCTTTATTTACCCATGCACCCAATGCTGAAATTTCTGTAAACAAGCCAATTAAATGCTGGCAACTATTAATGTCAGCCTGCAGCAGATCCAGAAATAAAAGGAAATGGAGTGCACAATGACATTAATTTTTCCAGTGCTGTACATCTATTCTAATGCAGTGGTTCCTTAACGTTTTGTATCATACATCACTACTTGTTCACTATCATTTTTATTAATATTCTGATGGAGCCTTTTTAAATTATTACAACTCATTCATACCCTCTTCCATCAACCCCTTCTCATGAAATTCAAATTGTCTTTTGACCATTTTCTAGAACCCCTGACCCGTGTTGTTACTATACATACTGGTATAGAAAGATTGATTTGATATAGTGCTATTATTGACATGTATCCACAACATCAATTAAGAAATAAGATGTTTGCCATCCTAGGATCCTGACATGGTGTGGGACTTCTTCACTCTGCGTCCAGAAACAACCCACCAGCTAACATTCCTGTACTCTGACCGTGGCACACCAGATGGCTACAGGCACATGAATGGTTATGGCAGCCACACATTTAAGCTGGTCAACAAGGCTGAGAAAATTCACTACTGCAAGTTTCACTTCAAGGTACAAAACTTTCAATCCTAGTAGAAGTCTTAATGTTTGGGGACCATAAACAAATATTGATCCTTAGGAACTTGAAAGAATCTGATTGGGAATTCTTCCCCTTGAGCAAACAGAGTATAGATGGGAGTTCCACACTCTTGAGCTGCAGTTAGAATTGAGCAAACTATGGACTGTGTATGGATATTTCAGGTTCCTACTAGTTGATGTTTAACTTATGAAGAAAGAAATTATTCATAACCACATATTTAAGCATTTACTTAAAGATTATTAAAACATTTGTAACCTATGCTGTGGACTCAAATATTTTGACAAAGAGTTCTTTTTTCCCCAACCGTTGCAGACTGACCAAGGTATCAAGAATCTTTTTGCTGATCAAGCGGCATTGCTTCAAGGCACAGATCCAGACTACTCCACCCGAGACCTTTACAATGCCATTGAAGAGGGAAACTATCCATCGTGGTCAATGTATGTCCAGATCATGACTGTCGAGGAGGCTGAGGAGTTCAGATTCAATCCATACGATCTCACAAAGGTGAATTTTTCATCTGTAATGTTGTATCTTAAAACCCTTGCATTTCGATCAACTTGGTGAGTATCATATTTATTATGAGACATTCATGGCTTGAGCAAACCCTTTTTCAACCACTAAAAGTCCAAAAAGACAAATTGACCACCACAAAAAAAAAAAAAAGAAAAAAAAAAAGATTCAATCTAGCTATGTGAGCTATGTGGAATGAATATGACCTTGACCTTTCAACAGTGAGTACAATTGTGCCACTGTTTATCTTTCCTCAAGTCACACCCACACTGACTGTTGGGTCCTTTTTATCATCTCAATTCATTTTTCAGACATGTAAAACATTCTTTCAGTTTGGAAAATGCAAAGTTATTTGGGTTTATGGAGATAAATTTTTATTAAATTTATTGGGCACAACATATTTCTTTATATAATGCCTGTTAACTTCATTAGTTTTCTATTCTCCCCTACTTCCACTATTAGAACTTTAACTGCTACCATGAGTAATACCATGAAAAAAATAGTCAAATCACTCCCTATAAAGAAACAGTGCAAATAAATTAGACTTTTGTTTGGCAGGACCAACATCTGATTCCTACAAGCTAGTTTTAAAACAAACAAAAAAACAAACCCTGAAAATTTTTGATGATTCAAAATTATATAAAAATATGAACAATGAACACATGAATATTTACCTTAGTTTTCTATAAATGGGAAGTAAATCTTATTTGTTAAAAGTTATTCCCCTTTATAAAAATAAAAAAAAAAATTAAAAAAAATATTGATTCCCATTTGCAATATAAATTTTAGTAGAGGCCAATTATATTGGTCATTAACACCACATAATCTTCCATAACAGCCAATGATCAGCTGGGTTCAACCTGCTGTAATAAAATTATATTAGAATCCCATCAGTAACATGATCTGCAGTCAGTAAAGTAGCTCAGTTTGAATGTAAAATTTAATTAAACTGTTAGAAATCTAGTTTTATTTCATCAAACGGTTAAAATATTTTTAAACAAAGAACTAACAAAAATTATTTGTGTTCCTTTCAGTTCAATGTCAGTTTGTCTGCTTGACCTTCTGATTAAGAAATAACACTTGATCACTTGTGATGTCTTATTTTTTTTATTGATTCAAGATCTGGCCCCATTCAGAGTTCCCCCTTATCCCAGTGGGCCGCATGGTGTTGAACCGTAACCCCAAGAACTACTTTACTGACGTGGAACAGATTGCCTTCTCACCAGCTCACCTCGTGCCAGGTGTGGAGCCAAGCCCAGACAAAATGCTCCAGGTATGAGTTTCACTTCATCTCTGATAATTTATAATATCACAAATCTGTTTAACTCTGGCAATTTTGGCATACAATGTATGAATTTGAAGTGTCTTTTATAATTGTACACCAAGACCTGTCACAACTACGATTTTAAGAAACCATGATGAAAATAAATGCATTCGGGTAGTTTTTCAGATTGAAATATAATAATTAAAAAGTACATTTTCGATGGTTAGTTTTAACCTGCTTTCTACATCCAGGAATGTGCCCAAACAGGAATGTTAATTCTAGTTAATGCTATTTTAATAGAATTATATACAGTAGTGATTTGATGCAATATTAGAATGCCTCATGGGTCATCAGAGGTGCAGTGTTAAAACCCTCTTATTGTCATTTGATTCTCTAGATAAGGGGTGGGGAACATCCATGAAAATTACATCACCCTAAGAGTGCCGAGATGTGCCTGGCTAAGTAAATTATATTGAACAACGCATTAAGTATGGTACTGGAAAACTTTATTTTGGGTCGGGCAGCCGATTTATAGCTAGCTAACAGAACCTATTGTTTTATAACTTTTTGTATCACTATGTGTAAATCTTGAAAAATTTACTAATTGCAAAAAATAATTGATGGTGGAGTAATATTTAATTATATTAATTTGCATCATCTTTTTTTCAGTTCATGTTCTATATGTAATGGGTGGATAATATATATTAGTGGGAGGGGGGGAGGGGGGTTAAACATTTTTTTGTGCCTAGTGTGCAGGCCCTGATTTTTTTTATGGCCCGTGCATGATGCAATAAATATCCAAATGGCCCTTGGCAGAAAAAGTTTCCCACACCTGCTCTATATCTTCATCGATTTTGTAGGAAATTATTTGAAGTTTTTTAAACAGTTTTAATTTTAGCATAATTTTATAAACAAATTGTAATGCTAGATATTTGTATAAATAATACAGTTTGGGGCACATATCCAGATTTTATTCCCAGCATTTTTCTTGCACTAAATTAAAAGATTGAAGTCCACATAGACCAATCACAGCTATTTTATATATGATATCCGTCTCTAGGGTCGTCTCTATTCATACACGGACACTCATCGACACCGCCTGGGTAGCAATTATCTGCAGATCCCAGTCAATTGTCCATACAATACCAAAGTTACAAACTATCAGAGGGATGGACCACAGTGCGTTACAGATAATCAAGGTAGGAGAATGGCACAGTGTACACATTATTTCCAGCTGATCTGGGCCTAATTTGAAACATGTAAGACACTTTAATTGTTATAAGTTAAAAATTTGTGTCATTTATGTAGTTACTTGCTTAAAACATACTTTCCCAATAATTCGAACATTTTATTATTAATAGGAAATTCAAAATTACCACAGACAATTATTCTTTATCATTGTGCAATATTTGTGGTCATATCATTTTGAGAAGATGGTATGTCATAGTTCAGAATTGTTAGTTTAAGTGTATAAGACAGGACAATTAAGCTGAAGGTCTGTGGTTTAAATCCAAGAAGTGCCAAAGGTTCATAATAGGCCTCCCCCACCTGGTGGGATAAACTGGTTTCTATGTTATGAAAACAAACCATCTGAAAATTAATGTATTCTTTATCCTGCAAAGTTTTATTGTTGCCATTCACCAGTCAGGAAAGGTTATCCTAGCCAATCATATATTTATGATTATTTTACTCTGAAAAGATGCACAGATGTTATGCCTTTGGAAATCTCAAAGAAATTTTGTTTCTTAAAAAAAAACTATATCTAGGTGGAGCCCCAAATTATTTCCCCAACAGCTTCACTGGGCCTGAGGACATAACTGCCAGCTTAGAGTCCAAGTTTAAGATTTCTGGGGATGTCCAGAGATACAACTCTGCTGATGAAGATAACTTTACACAAGTTGGAACATTCTGGAACAAGGTGAGTAGCCACAGAATGTTTGCAGGTGGCATCTCTTAATCTTGCTTTGATTCATCCACGGTAACCTATTAAATTATAACCAAGAAAAAACATTGTAATACAATGAAAATGTTTAGAATTGTGTCCAAAAGTGTCATCCTGGTAGGGAATCTATATTCCATGGTTTACTCAGCTTTTTTGCTTGATACTATTAATACTGGCCAAACATGACAGTTCTGCCATCATGCTTAGCCGTGTCGTGACTTTTGGAGGCCCCCTGCAACTTTTTCTTTTGCCTGTTGCATTCTCATTTGATAGTTGACATTTTTTTTAACATCCCAACGTTGCGTCCCTTAACCCTATCTGTCATGTTGCTACCAAATCCTGCTTCCTTTTTCAATTTTGCCTGGTGAATTAAGAGCCTATTTATAAAGAGGAAGTTTTTAGCTAATTTTTGTGGAGATTTTGCTGTGAGCTTGATTTTTACATGTTTGTCTATTTTTTTAAATAATAGTGTGTTTTTTTACAGTTAATCTACACTTAGAAAATGGCGTTTGCATTTCTAGAATTGCTTCAAGATGCAAGTGCATGGGCTTTAGTGTTGATAGTGATGAATTTGATTAAGAAATAGATGATCAAAATGAAAGTGATGTTAAATTAGTTCAACATAATGATGTCCCAAATGAGCTAGAAAATGAAACGAGGGACTATGTTGATAGACCTGACTGTTTTGACCAATTTCATAGCAATGAAACATTTTTTTTGTGTAACTGTTCCTATTTTAGACTTAATTATATTTCTGAACTGTATGATTACTTGTGTTCATTCATCCCTGAGACTTACTATGAAGAGTTGGCACTGCACACTAATATGTAATCAAGCTCCTACAGGCCCCCCAATACATGGGCTGACACAACTGTAAATGACACAAAATTATTTTTAAAAATAATTTTTTACAATTTATGTGTTATAAATAAATATTTATTCTTTTAATTAAAATTGAGCTTTTCTCTACAATTATATGATGATACTTTTATGAAAGACTGATCTTTAAATGAAGATTTTTTTAAGTCAGCAACTTATGAAAGAAATGGAGTTATTTCTCTTTGCTTGGTACTGAAGTAATTTCCTTATGGACGCCAATGATCTGAGAGGGTTAAAGTCAAATATCCATGACCATGCAACTAAATAAAGAAGAAATTTTAAACTGATGTTATCTTTAGTTCTTGATCAGCCTCACTTTCAGAATTTAAAAATAATAATTTAAGTTCTTCCTCAAGATAACTCACAATGAGGCTTAGCTATTTTCTTTTTGGTATGAAGTGAAGGTTTTCATTTTAAGCTTTTGATTAATCTTTTTCTGAAAGGCAAATTAAAGTTTCTGAAAATGAGCAAAGGATTTTTTTCCGTGTCCAGTTCAAATTTCAGGAGCTAGTGACAGTGCTGCAGTCTCAAATATTTATCTACATCAGTGTTTCTCAACCTTTTTTTGGCTCGTGGTCAACGTGAGCATTGCTTTTGTTCTGTGGCGCCCTCCACCATCCCCCTTCTCCGTTTAGTAATATGATATTTCTTTTTATCAAGTTGTTTTTTTGCCCTCCCAAAGAAATATGCTGTGGCCCCCAGGAGAAGATATGGCCCACATTGAGTAACTCTGATCTGTCTGATACTTTATATCCTTAATCAAAAGGGGCCCAATCTTGACATCTATTTTGTCCTCTTTACTGTGTGGAGTCCTGTAAAAGACAGACATTTGCTTTGATAAACTTATGTATAAAACCCTATCTCAACTTCACTTTCAGGTTCTGTCACCTGCAGAACAGAGCAGGCTTGTTGAGAACATTGTTGACCATCTTAAAGATGCCCAGGACTTCATCCAGAAGAGGGCAGTTGGCAATTTCACACAGGTTGATCCTGAATTCGGACGTCGTGTCAAGGAGGGACTTGGCAAAGCCTTGTCAGCGGTCAGTCAAAATGAACTTTTATTTTACTTTTTTTTGAAGGACAAGCATCTGAATCAGATATAATTGTTATTCTTTTTAGGTCGATTCAGAATATTAACTTGTGAAATACTTACCTCATTTTTTTTATTATATGAAGCAGTAAAAATATTTTAAGAGAGTTACCTCCGTTAACCAATCTGATTCGCAATTATGATATTAATTTTGCTAACAGCCAATTATATCAGCCTTAATGAAACAGCTATAATGACTTATGATCTGCCTTTAAAACAGCTCATTTTTTGAGATATCTCATCCATTTAAAAACTTCCCGTTTTTCATTAACTCTTTTCTTCTAAACTTATAAATAAATCCAGATTGCTTGCTTCTGACTCTTCTTTTAAAAACTTTTTCAAGCAATGTCATAATTAATCCAGTAACATCAAGCCAAAACTCATTACTTTTATTTTCTCTTGCACATGTTGTCTCTCTGGAGCAATATGAAACTGTTACACTAAAACATGTCATAATAATTTTTCTTTCAAGCTTATCAAATTAATTGACCAACTGGTCAGAGTGTATTACTAATACTCGTGTTCTTTAATTCTACAGGGACAAAGCTCAAACCTGTAAGTTAGCCAAGAACTTTTACAACAGAGAATCAGATACCTTAAAGTATTCGTGATATGGCAGCAGCCATTTTTATGAATCTTCTGAATGATGGCCATTATATGATTGAACTTTATTCTAATTCAACCTCTTTGACAATGAACATGAGCTTAAACAATTGCAGTGAACAGAAAATTGATATTCGAATAAACAGATAAAAATATAAAATTTACTGTAAATGTATCATCACAAATAAAAGTAAATTAATGTCTTAAAATGAGATTTTGTTGTTGATATATTGAACTTTATACTGTCTTACTTTTAAAACACCAAAAGTAATACTATTTTATAGTAAATGCCTCCCCTCTGAGTTGACCAACTTTTAAAATGTATTTACATTTTCAATGTTGAGACTTAAAATTTAATAGGGTATAATTTAGCTAAAAGAAATATTTTTAATTTAAAATGAATTTTGAAATCAACTAAGATCATATCTATTGTTAATAAATGTTAAGGCCTGTTCCTTAATTTAAAAAAAAAAACTTTAATAATTCATCCAGTGCTTCTGATAAACTTTTAATTCCTTAACAACAGAAGGACCTGTTTTTGTTATGTTGATTCTTAACAGTTTAACTTTTCTAATACACTTTTGTGCAGTTTTGGATTTATTTCTTTGAATAAGTTAACATGTAATTTACAAATGCTACATTTTTTTTTTATTTTATGCCTTTTAAAAAAATTGTTAAAAGTGTAATTTTATTAACCTAATGGTTGGGCATTTTTGAAAAAAGTCAAATTTTAAGCTGATGAAAAAGGAACAGTCTGTAATTAAGTTAAATCTCTATTCTGGTTCATCCATTCAAGTGCAGGAATTACCTTTTCTTTCCTATCAATGGTTGCTGCAGATGCAAAGAAAACTCATTTTAAATTTGACCAATGAAAACAAAGAGAGAAAGGAAAAAAATTAAAAAGAGTTATAGATTTATCTTGGTGATGAATAATTATCTAATTTTTATGAATTGTTTATGACATTTAAATATTGATGAGATTGAATATTGTTATAAATTGTAATTTTTTATGTTTTTTTTTTATAGAAAACATAAACTTGTACATTGCTGAGTAAAGATGATAAATAAAATTTAAAAATGGCAAACAAAAAATGGAATTGTTGGGCCTATACTACAATATTATGACAATTAAACATTGTTGTTGTTAAAATTGCTTTTGCCTTACATTAAGTTGTCATTAGAGTTGTGCATTATTTATAACATTATGTTTTAAATTTACGCTTTTTAATCATGCAAAAAATTATGCCATACTGATCCAATGGCTTGTCAGTGTATGTAGATAATTTGTTTAATTAAATGTGGATTTATGTCTCAAGGCAGTCATAAGTCTCCTAATTATTTTGTTTTCTTATATAGCAGACTAATAATTTAAATTACCACAATTATTGACATGATAAACACTGGCCTATTCAACTGGAGCCTATTTATCATTCAATAAAAGATTTTTATTTTTTCCTTGCAAGTTCAATTCTCAAACTTGTTTGTTTCGTTTCTTCAGGTTGTCATTTACTCTTGTGAAAAAAATAATATTTTGTCCGTAGTGATTTTTGTCTTATCAGGGCATATTTTGTTTTCAAATGCTAAATAATTTTATTTCCAAAACTGCATTTGATTAATGTTTTCTATCAAATATGCAGAAATTAAAAGTGAAATAAAAATATAAAAAATTCTTACAAAATGTATTCATCCTCTCTTTGATTCATTATATTTATCTTTGCATTGTGGGATTGAGCTTTCTTAATGTGCACACTCTCCGACCTAAGATGGCTAGTGAAAAAGATCTCTGCAGATTGGTCATGATATTACATTTGAGTTCTGTGCTTTGCTCTTTCAGAAACAATTGATAAGAAAAAGTCTCAGCAACTGTTAAACACATTTTATAGTAAATTATCAATATCTGGGATTTTTGGGACAAAGTGCATCATTCATTGGCAACAATTCTTTGCAGTGTTATTGCATATCAATTTAAATAATCAAAATATGATTTGTAATTTTAATAGATCTATGTTTATTAATTTAAAAAAAAAATAATAATAAATCAACAATTAAGTGCGGGCGTCTCCTGCGGTGTGTTGCTACCACTTTCCACACACAAAAATATTCAAACTTCTTTCTCAAAGTAAACATGCCGAAAACTCCACTTCACTTCCACTTGTTCACGTCTGCTTAAGTCGCGCCCCTTTCCTGGTCACTCGTGTGTTCCATGAAGGCCACCAAACCTGAGCAGTAATCAATACGTTAGTTTCTCTCTTTGCATTTGTTTTTTCGCCTGGCACCGAGTTCCGTCCTGCTGTGCTCCAGTGAGTTGTTCATCACATATTTACTTTACTTTAGAAAACAATTTTTATTGGACCACAAGTGTCAAGTTGATTTCGCTATTAACACGTTGCATCAAGAAGTCTGGCCTGTCATCAATTAAATCACGACCCGATTGGCTCATTCATTAAGAAAAAAAAACAAAAATAATAATATAAACAATATTCTGCCGCTGGCCAGGACAGCGCAAGCCTGCAATATGCCTGTAAGTACTTTTCGTTTATTTTTTAAAAATAATTTATTTAATTTCTGATAACTGATTATTGGCAATAACAAAAATGCTAATTCATTAATCATGGGAGTGACTTCATTTCTCTAATATGAATGTATCAACTAACTCCCTGGCCACCAATTTCACCGTAAAATAGCGTGTATAAAAAAAAATTTAACAATTTTATTTCTTCAAATTTAAATACACGACTGTTTTTTTAAATCTTTTTTTTTTTTAAATGAACAAAAAAGCAGTCAGCCCCCCCCCCCCCACGCAAACACACGACAAACTAGTGCCATCCATCACAGACTGTTGCCGAGTTGCTGGGAACATCAGTTACGCACTCATTGAACTATTAACTATTGATTGCTGATTGCAGCCTTGAAACTGCTCGAATCCCTGACCAAAAAAAAACAAAAATTAAAAAAAACATAACTTAATTTAAAAGAAAATATTAACATATCTCTAGTTTCAAACTAACATTTTCACGTGGAAAATGATTGGATTTTGATATTCGTGGGTTTACTTTTGTAAATATACCCTTATTTTCTTAGCATGTCCTTTTCTAGTACCGTCCCATCAATTAAGGTCCATCGTGTGAAGACCCTAAAGTGAATAGTGAGGTCGCCTGTCTTGCAAACTGCGAGCTCGGGGTTTTTGAACTTCAGCTTGCCGTGGTCATATCGTATGACGTTGTTATATGGTATGACGTTGTTATATGGTATGACGTTTTTATATGGTATGACGTTGTTATATGTTATGACGTTGTTCTATGGAATGACGTTGTTATATGGTATGACGTTGTTATATGTTATGACGTTGTTCCCTTTAAGCTGCGCGGCCGCGCAGTTACCTCACAGAGGTAGCAGCAGTTTTGAGTACCGCGCAGCAAATTTCCATGGAAGTGTGTGTTTGTTTTTGTGGGCTGTAAAACTTTGCACACAACTGTATGATTTTGCACACGAACCAGCAAACCTTAGAGGGAACATTGGGTATGACGTGTTTATATGGTATGACGTTGCAATATGCTATGACGTTGTTATAAGGTATGACGTTGCAATATGCTATGACGTTGTTATATGGTATGACGTTGCAATATGCTATGACGTTGTTATATGGTATGACGTTGCAATATGCTATGACGTTGTTATATGGTATGACGTTGCAATATGTTATGACGTTGTTATAAGGTATGACGTTGCAATATGCTATGACGTTGTTATATGGTATGACGTTTATATATGGTATGACGTCCTGTTTGCTCTCAGCACCATCAGCCGGATCTAGCAGACCTCAGCTATAATGCAACTTGGTGTAGCCATTACACATGCCCAAGGTCTAAACCGGTTCCTCACCAAATACAGAGAAAAAGGATTTTCATCAGCAATAGCCACTGCAGAGGAAACATCACCAGAAACGAACATCGAGCCTCTGTTTAAAGAATGTCACAATAGTCGACGAATGGGGCAATTTGGATATGAAGCATAGAGATGAGACCCAAAAGACGCATGAAGAATCTTTCAGGATATACTATTTCTTGTGGTTAAAAGGACCAGACGTCGGTTTCATTGAAGACATGCTCTCAACAATTGCCACCGTACTTTGACATTTTTAAAAACTTTCTATATGATATTCAGCAACTCCTTACCATGACCCTTGATAATGTGATCAAACACTGAGCAGACTGGGACATGACCTTGAGAAGTACAGATTCAGGGGATTATATCGTTCGGATTTACTTGTTAAAACTGGAGATAATGACAGAAATTATTCCAGGGAAAGTACACAAATCATTACAATGTCTTCAGCACCCCGTGCCGCTGGCAAACTTGTTTCCGAATGTCCAAATGAAAGTTGCTCAAAACTCAATTAAGAGCATTCCATTGAACCTGAGACATTGATGATCTCCAGTAAGTTTCATCAACTTTAATATTGAAAACTTTCTTTCTGCACCTTCCTGCTATATTTAATGGCACTGGTGACTTTATGTTATATGCCATCGCAGCTTTTGTCTGAAGCTGGATTGAAATGGGTTGTCAACTCCATCAATTGAACGGGATGTTGTTGTCCCCCTTGACGATAAAGAACTCAATTTTTGTTGTTGTTGCAATGGCCGCCCGATTACTGTCTGAGAATATGCATTTTTTGACAATATCCAGTCAACATTCTTCTTTGTTTTCTTTTTGTACATTTTATAATTTGGGCAACAATGAGATTAGAATCAACCGAGCCGTGAGGAGCAATTCGGCTCAGGGCCATACCACTATCACATTAATTTTTCTAAATAGAAATTTCGGAAGTAATCCCAATCCGGTGTTTGGGCGTTAAATTTCATGCCATAATTAACTTACCAATAATATTTATCCCCCATGTGTTATGGGGGTTTCTAGGTGTATTGTGCACGTTTGTCATTGGAAAAGGAGCGTCATTTCTGAAGTCTCTCATGGTGAGAGTATCTGGGTTGTGTTTTTATTTATTATTTTTTTTTTTTTTTACTTCTGTGACCTCCACCGTGGTGGAAATCACGAGCATCAGCAGGGGTATGGCGAATAACCTGTTGCAAAGCAAGAATTAAACCTCACCATTCTTTTTCAACCGTGGAGAAGTTCTTACGATGGGGATTACATTTGTTCGAGAAATAAAAGCTGGGATGATCTACCCTGTGATCATCTTCTTGAAACAAAACTGCACCACTGCCAACATCGATGGCATCTACAGCTAATTAAAGCTCTTTATTTCACTCTTGTACAATGAGAACAGGAGGATTGGCTAGTACTTTTTAAAATACTTTCCAATGCTTCTTAACAAAGATCCAACCAATGAAATTTTACGCTTATCTTTAACAACTTTGTAAGAGGGGAAACCATACCCGTGAAGTAAAAGAGTTTTTGCTAGATTTCCCGTAACAGCCTGCCATGCCAAAAGATGTTATGGGTTGTTTTCTAGTCGTGGGTGAGGAAGTGATGTGATAGCATTGCATTTGCTTGACCATTATTAACATGACCTTGACCCACAAATATTCCACAGTCGCATGCCGCTTGCATTACCTTTACAGCAACATTTGCCTGCCAACAATTCTTTGAAAAAAAGATCTTAATCGGGTTATGTGACTTGAACAATCTTGAGAGTAAATTATTACATCATCTATGTAGGCGCTGCAGTTTTCCTGGTCAGCAATGATGCTATTAACTAGGTGTTGGAATCTAGCAAGGGTGTTTTTCCATTCCAAACGGCATGATCTGATATTAGTATAAACTATCTGGAGTACAGAAAGCAGAGACTTCTTCTGCTCTGTCAGACAGAAGAACCTGCCAAGTAACCAAATAATAGGTCTATCTTGGTGAGATATTTGGCATATCCTACTCGATCTGTGAGATCGTCTATCCTTTGAATAGGAAAGGAATCAGACTTTGTAACAGAATTCACTTTCCTGAAATAGGTGCAAAAACCTGTAAATTTTGTCAGGCTTTTGGACTAAAATACTTACAGGACTCCAGTTACTCGAACTTGGTTCAATGACGTCATTGTCAAGCTTGTAATTTATCTCAGAATGGATCATTTCAAATCTTTCCGGATTGACCCTATAGGTGTGTTACTTGACCGGATCTGCATTGCCGACGTCAAAATCACGCACAGAAATATTTGTCTTATTCGGCACACCAGGAAAAAGTAAAATGAAATATATGTAATAACATATTTAATAGTATCTTTCTCTGACCATGATAATTGTCCGAGTTTCTGATCAAAAGTTGGCCAGTTTTTTCTGAATTTTTAAGATTGTAACGGCCAACTTTTTCTGGGACCCGTTTGAAAGCACCAGTAACATTTTGTTTGGGTACCGTGCTGATGTTACAATTAACATTAACATCTGAGGATGGACACACTTCTCATCACACTTTCTTTCAACATTTTCTTTGAACATTTGACTTTGACATTTGACTTTGACATTTGACTTTGACATAACTGTTTCTCTCTTTTACGATTTGGCGTTCATGGGATATAATTTAAGTCATTAACTTTGGACTCAACTTCAAAAGGTAAGGACCAAAGTACCTACCCTGGAGCGCCTGCAATGGTATCGGTAAAACCGCAATCACTTTGAATTTGGCCTTTTCATTGCACCACATTTTCATATTACATAGCAACTTTAAGATA